GATTTTTGATACCTGAAAATACGCAAGAAATCCTATGTCAAGCATTCCAAGTCCACAGCCCGAGGGGGTCTTGGCCACAGCCTTTATCTCTGGGGTCCGTGGTTCTTCATTACTGTTTACTGGCCTCTGCTGCTGCTGTTGCTATCTATTTATAGGGAACCAATAACTCTGTAAACACCTGTTTTCCTTTGGTCACAGAGCACAGCATAGTTTTATTAACAGGAGCCAGCCTGCCAGGAAAAAACAACCTGCTTCCCCGAACGCAGTCTTGTTTCCAGTTTTCCACGGCTGCTACGAGGCATCCCTGTGGGGACTCTCGAGTTCCTCCCTCTCTGCTGTGCGCCCAATAAATGAAGAGTCTCGTGCTCTGACCATGTGTGATTTCATTCGGGTTTAAGTCCGTGATGTCCAGTGGGCTTTATTCTTTTCAGTTCTACAACCGGCTTTCACATTAGGATCCTGACCTGCAGGTGCTTGGTTCAGAAAGCTGGCTGGGGTGAGGCGGGGGCTCCGTTCGCTTTCTTGGATAAGGTGGGTGGCCCTAGCCGTTTCGCCCTAATGAGGGCTCTAGGGACCGTTCTTTCTGCCCCACAGGTTGCCACAATCCTATCCAACTGTCCTCTTCTCTGTGCCGTCTCCCCACCCTCCTGTGCCTTTGAATTTCCTGATTTTGTGCCTGTCCGCTGCCCTGTGCTTTCCTGACTCCCACCTGCACCGTCCTCACTTTCCGCATATCCTGACCCTCGCTTGTCCAATGGTCCAGATAAGAGCCCTTGTTTTAGCATATCCTCCTCTTCTTCCAAAGTCATGGGTGTTTAATACTGATGCTGCCATTGCCCGACGGCCCCTGCAGGTGTCAGGCACTGTGTTGTGCCCTGCAATTTTGCAGCTGTCATCTCTTAGTCCTTACCACAGCCCCTTCAACCTTTGTGTTGTATTATTATTTCTACCTTGTGGATCAACAAACAGACATGTGACAGGCCACAGGTGGTTAGGCCAGTAGGAAGGCCACTGTTAGCGAGGCCAGTGAGCCGGGGCTTCATGACTCAGGTTCATTTAAACCAAAGCCTTGGCTCTCGACTTGGCTGTGGGCCTAGTCTAACATGTTCATTGGTCAGGAGCCGCCCCCCCACCCAACTTTTTGAATAAACAAATGAATCTAAGATTGTAATTATTAAAATAGGAAAGTGTGTGAATCGCCTGTATATAGCTCAGTGACTTCACCAAAAGCTCTCTAGAACCCTCCTGTGTTCCTTTGGGTCACCCAGGGTGACCACCACTCAGATTTTGAATTTTGTCTATGATTGAATGTAAAGGCAGTCACACCATACTCTTTCTGAATTCAGTCTTGAGATATATTCATAAATATTCTCTGTTTGTAAATTCTCCTTCCTGGTTGGTCTGACCTTTCCCAGCTCCTCAGTCAGAAACATAAGTTTCCTCCTGCATCTCTTGAACATCCTCATGGTGCACCATCAGCGCGGCCTTTTCTCGGAGACGGTCCTGTTCTTCCTGTGGATGAAAAGCGAATTCCAAACCATCTCGCTTGCTCCCCTAGTCACTGCTTCCAGTCCACCCCTCTCTGGGACCCTCCACACTCTGCATCGTTGTTCTGGTTTGTTCATTTGATTAGGCTCCCAGCACAGCGGCCAGTGCCTGCTTCCTCCGAGGCCCCCTGGGACTGAGGTATTAACATCCATATGGGCTTCCCCTGGGACGGACAAGTGTTCGCAGCTTCTGGCAGCAGTTCACTGCCATGTGAATCAGTTTTAAATTGCTCAGCATGATCGCAGACCTCCTGCACAGCATAAAGCAGAGGATGCCTGGGGCAGAGGTGGCCTCTTCCAGAGACGACAGGACAGCTCTTTGCCTGGACATGGTGCATCTGTTTTGATCTGGAACATTTAACTCTGTAATAAGCAGGGTTCCAGTGGACGCAAGAAAAAATTTTCTTCCCCTAAAAACCCAGAATTGCTGAGAGGCTCCTGATGGAAACTTGGCCTATGTGGAAGTGATTTATGGCAGAGAAACTGACCTTCACACCTGCCGTTGTCATCACAGCACAGAAAGCTTTGAGAGGCAAGTTCTCTCCCTGTGCCAACCACTGTTCTCCCTAAATACATTCAATTCGATTGTATTTTTTTAACTCACAGTTTACATTCAATATTATTTTGTATTAGTTTTCTTCCCAGGGCAATAAAATGCTATTTGATTTCAAATATAATAAATGGCATAGGTTCGATTAACTATAATGTGCATGTATTGAACTATCATGTGGACTTGTTACATTACTGAGGGCAGCAAAGAATACTGTTGGATTAAAAAATATGAGGTTTAGTCATTTGGTGACATAAGGGCTTTGAGCTGTAGTTGTTTTATGTGTGTATTTATTGCCCAGGGCAGTCTGTGTGGTTCCCATTTTGTGTGCTCAGTTATTCAGATGAAGAGTAACATTAAGGATTTGGGCCACATAGCCATTTAATATTAGTTATGGTAACCAATTTGTCAGGAGAGAACAGATATGTAAGATTGTATCCTTTGATTGGGGGCAGGGGTGAATTCTTATAAAAGTCATGTGTTTGATATTTTGCTTTTATAGAGGGAAAATAATAGCATGTATTTTATTTTCAAGCTAAGCATGTATGTGGGTTTTACGTGCAGACCAGTAGGGACCTGATATCTTGTATCAGTTTTCAATTTTGTGCTTGTTAAGTTATTTTACAAATTTTGATTTGGCATCAAAATGAAAACTTAAATTCTATATTAATACTCACAGTCTTTAGATCTGTAAAGGGACTGCAAGGTGACAATGACAAGTTCCAGAGAGTGTCCAGATTTACCCCAATGGGTTATGGGAAGGAGGAAACTTTATATACTTCATTTATTGTTTACTAGTGGTCCTGCGCACGAATCCGTGTGTAAGTAGCTCACTGCCGCTTGCCTCAGCTGGCTGCCCCACCCACCGCCACTCATAGCTCTCTGCTGCACGTAGCTTGCTGCCCTGCCCTCCCGTTGATCAGTTGTTCCATGACAGCGTCCCAACCAATTTGCATATTACCCTATTATAAGTATAGATGTATAGGGACATATAGAAAAGGTTTAATGTGGACCTTCTAGATCACCTAGGGATGCTTCTGACGAAAGAAAGTAAGCATAGTCTTTAGTGCCATGTGCCTAATTCCATCAGTTTGGATGTGGGGTGAACATATAAGTAGTTTCATTCTCTAAAGTATCTTATTATCTTTGTGTATCTTTTATAACATCTGTTATATATTAGTGCTGGGAGTTTTTACATGAGGGAGAAAATACGCGTTGAGATTTTGGTGTGGAAACAGAAGTGTGCACTAAGATTAGTTTGTTTGTATTTAATAGGAGAAGAAAACAAAAGCTTAAATAGCAGAGAAGTTTATTTCTCTCTCCCAGAGTGTCACCAAGGCCTCTGCTCTTTCTGTTCTGCTTCCCTCAGCAATTGATTTCCATCTTCAGAGTCACCTTTTGGCCCAAAAGGCTGCTGAGGCTCCAGTCATTTTGCTTATCTTGCTGGCAGCAGGAAGGAGGAAGAGAAGAGGGCAGGCACACCTCCCCTTTTATAATTCTTTTTCTTTCTTTTGTTTCTTTAATTAATAAATTTATTTCTTAGGGCAGTTTTAGGTTCACAGCAAAATTGAGAGGAAAGTACAAATAGCGCTCCTGCCCCCACCGGGTCCCCTTTGTTTTAGATTAAGAACTTCCTCTAAGTACCAGCCAGTAGCGTCTGCCTACATCTCTGTGGTCAGAACAGGGACTCGGCTGGCAATAAGGAAGCTGGGAAGAGTAGTCTTTTAGCTGGGAGCTTTGCTGGAGTTTATGGCCAAGGTGTACAGGGAGATTGTTGCAGGAGAAACGTGAAATTTCTGTCACAAAGCCATTGACCCAAGAGAATTTCTTTTCTTTTCTCTTGGTTATGCAAAACAGAGTTTAAATTAAAGTCTTAAATTGGTACCTTTAGAAAGCTGTATTTGTTTGTGTTGAGAGGCACTGTTTACTGTTTATAATTATTATGAGTTCATAGGCGCTTGCGATAGCATCAAAAATAATCATTTAAAATTATATAAAGAAACTAGAGGCCCTGTGCATGAAAATTCATGCACTGGAGGGGGGCGTCCCTCAGCCCGACCTGCCCCCTCTCACAGTCCGGGAGTCCTCAGGGGCGGGAGGCGACCCGGCGATCAGGGGAAGGCGACACCCCCATCACACCTCTGCTGCTGCCACTGCTGGCAGCGCAAACCTCGGCCGGCCCTGGTTACCTGAGCTTCAGGAGGCCCTGAGCGGCTGGGCAGCTGCCATCCGAGGCTTGCCTGCGTCTGGGGGTCTCCAGAGGCAGGCACGCGGAGCGGCCTTGCCACGTGCCCGCCACCCTGGTGAGGCTGAGGGGACTGGGCACCGCCATCTTGTGGCTGTGGGCACCGCCATCTTTGAGGGCGTGGCAGTCAATTAGCATATTCCCTCCTTATTGGCTGTGGGATCCGCCATCTTTGAGGGCAGGGCAGTAAATTAGCATATTTTATCCTTATTGGCTGTGGGCGCTGCCATCTTTGCCATGGTGTGAGGGTCAATTAGCATATTCCCTCTTTATTAGCTAGGATAATACAGTTATAAAGTACTGTATAGGAGGCATGAAGGAGGCATGTTATGTTCATTTGGAGGCACATTTAGTGTTTTATAATTGGATTTGAAGAAACGCTTTATGGAATGGATACACACAATTTAAAAATTTAAATACAGTTCAATATATGTGTCTTTTGGTACACCTTAGAGTTCTGTTACTCTTTTAAATTTGTTTCATCAGTAAATGCTTCAACTTACATTGATTATAAAAGGAAATTGTAACAAGCGAATCTTTCCTTTTCTTTATCTTTCTCACAGAAGTGTGTGGAGGTTGTGAATAACTGCTTTATGATGTTTTTTTCTGTTTTCCTCTACTGCCCTTCTCTCTTCTTCAATCATCCCCTGTCCCAAAGTGCCTACTCCTTCCATGTGACAGCAGACGGGCAGATGCAGCCTGTCCCTTTCCCCCCCGATGCCCTCATCGGACCCGGCATCCCCCGACACGCTCGCCAGATCAACACCCTGAACCACGGGGAGGTGGTGTGCGCAGTGACCATCAGCAACCCCACGAGACACGTGTACACGGGTGGGAAGGGCTGCGTCAAGGTCTGGGACATCAGCCACCCCGGCAATAAGAGCCCTGTCTCTCAGCTTGACTGTCTGGTGAGTGAGCAGAACCCGGTGCACAAGGGTAATTTCTCCCCGGAGACTCAGTAAGGAAATAGCTGTCCAGGCCTGGGTTTTAATTCCCATTAGGAGGAAATGGAAGCCCATTTTGTTTCCTGTGTTAGCAATTTAGCTCCTTGCCACCCCTCTCCCGTAGATGTGAAGTTTTCATTTGCTGCTCTTTCGGTGGTTAAATCCCATGATGGATTTCTTTTAGAAAAATATTTTAGAGTCGTTTACAGAAGCTGTCCTTGTTCGAATGTGTATTCAAAAGGGGGTTTCCCATTTAATGGATGAAAGCTCAGCTAGCCCAGGACTCCGAGCCCTGCAACCCACTCAACTTTTAATTTCCCTGCAGCCTTTGGATAAATATTGAATAGTAAACATTTGATAACGTGGCATTACAACCAGTCTGAACAGGGTCTGTGTTTTCAGGGAGGCCTGGGGAGCTGGCTGGGTTTTATTACCTTAACTTCAGGAAAGGGTTAATGGATCACACTGTTAGAAATCAGGGCAGCTGTCAGCAAAACAGGAGTGGTGAGAAGGCTTTCCCAGGTGCCCCGTCCACCTCTCAGCATCCGAGAATACCACTGTGCATTTTCCAGGATCTTAGGACGCACTGGGCATGCTCCGGTCGCTCAGCTGTAACCCCGGGATCTACAGACCACATATGGTTGGCCTGAGGCAGGCAAAAGGCCACCCTGCCCCCGGGTGGAGTCTGCCTGCACATGGCTGTACAGGTGATGCCCTTCACTCACTGCCTGCCTGGACTCCGGACAGTGCTTCCAAAAAGAAGGGTGGCAGGATTTCCAATCTTCGAGTGAGAGACCATGGTGAAAACATAGCAAAAATAACTCAGCTATGTCTATTTGGGTTGAAGGATAGCAGTTATTCCTTTTGGGGGTAGGGCTGTCATTTTAAGTCCCACTTCCCTTTTAAGATGTGTTGATTTTGATGGAGAGATGCCCTCTTTTATTAATTTCTTTTTTCTTTGGATTGAGAGGCATAAATAATGACAGCAGCCAGGTTACAGGAAAGCAGCTCTGTTAAATTCCTAGACAAGGAGGCACCTGGCTAATGAGGACACGGTGCAGGCCTAGGTACAGGTAAGAGTAATGGACACCAAAGCATAGGCAGGGGGTCTGCAGTCCCCAAATACTAGTAAATAACAGAGAATGATGAGATCAAATATTTATAAACCAGCTTTGAGAAGAGCTTTCTTCCTAGAGAAGTCTGTGTATATCTACCTCACATCTACTGATAACTTCAGTTCTGTCTGCTCAGTGAGAACTGGACGTGAGGGACAGTCCTGTCTGAGCTTGCAATCCTTTGAGTTCATTTTGTTTACTCTTTCGAGGGAGGCAGCTGCAATCGGATCCCAATATTTACGACAGAATTCTTGCTTGTTAGTGTCCATGAAATACCACTTTTCAGGTCAAAAACCAAGATAGCAGTTAGAGAACATGGCATTGTTATGGCTTAGTGTGTAGTACATGCAGCGATTGAATTGTATTTATTTCACAGAACAGAGATAACTACATCCGTTCCTGCAAATTGCTCCCCGATGGCTGCACTCTGATAGTGGGAGGGGAGGCCAGCACTCTGTCCATCTGGGACCTGGCCGCCCCGACCCCTCGCATCAAGGCGGAGCTGACGTCCTCGGCCCCTGCCTGCTACGCCCTGGCCATCAGCCCCGACTCCAAGGTCTGCTTCTCCTGCTGTAGCGACGGCAACATCGCCGTGTGGGACCTGCACAACCAGACGCTGGTGAGGTGAGCACAGGTGGTTTTCTTTTAGCGAGGCGGTCAGAAGGCCTCCTGTCTCCCCTGCTTCTCCAGCTGCCCCAGGCACTCAGCCCACACATTCAGATCTTACTGTGTGCCAGGCCGGGAGCTGGGTATTGGGAGTGCAAAGACGGAGTTGTGTGGCTTCCCTTGGGGGACTTACCATCTTGATGCTGTGCTCGAGTGTCCCCTAGACTTTATATTTAACTTCCTAATGTTCCCATTTTCATTATTCAGGCACATATAGGTGCCAGGCTTGTTTAAGAAGTATTCCTGGCTTTCGCCACATGGCAGCACATTATGGATTCCATGGCGGTAGGAAGGGTCCTCAGTGGTAGATGATTTTGGCTTTTTTTGTTGTTGTTGTTAATCCTCACCCGAGGATATTTTCCCATGGATTTTTAGAGAGAGTGGAAGGGAGGGGGAGAGATGGAGAGAGAGAAGCATCGACATGAGAGAGACACATTGATTGGTTGCCTCCTGCACACCTGCAACCGAGGTACATGCCTTTGACTAGACTCGAGCTCGGGACCCTTCAGTCTTCAGGCTGACGCTCTATCCACTGAGCCAAACCAGCTAGGGCAGATAGTTTTGACTTTGGTAGAACCTTGTTTGTGCAAACAGTTGCCAACTAATAAAGGATAACAAAACAAACAAAAAGAACATTTGAAGAGGAGATTGCACGAATTTCACACACATTGTTTTTCAAATATCTGTGTTTGTTTCTATCTATCTATCTATTTATTTATTTTGATTTCAGAGAGAAAGGGAGAGGGAGAAAGAGAAAGAAACATCAGTGATGAGAGAGAATCATTGATTGGCTGCCTCCTGCACACCCCACACTGAGGATTGAGCCCACAACCTGGGCATGTGCCCTCGGAATCAAACCTGGGACCCTTCAGTCCGCAAGCCGACACTCTGTCCATTGAGCCAAACCAGCTAGGGCATATCAGTGTTTCTTGATAACTAGCTAACTAAGCCCTGTCCAGGGTCGCTCACCAGGAATGAGCCTGACTTCCTGGAACCTGTGCTTCTAACCGTAGCAAGAGCTGCACTCACCACCTTTGTGTCTTCTTGGCTCCAGCAGCTCCCTCCCTCCACCTAAGTCAGTGCTCACACTAGAGATCTTACGGAAAAATCTTTGAAAATGTAAGCGCTAAAACATCCAGGCAAAACTAGCATCTTTCGCCCTTTTATTTCACAGTTCATCTTCACTCTGAAACACTTGTTTATGGTGTGATTTTAGGCTCATGAATTGCTTAGCAGGCCTCCTCCCAATGCTTTGGGCCCGTGTGCTGGAGGAAGGGTTGGACAGACCCTGGAGGTCATCAGAGCAGCTCCCTCTCGTTCCAGTGAGAGTCTCCGAGCCAGGCTCTGTCCCTCTGTGCACGTGACTGTGGTGGTTATTTCTCTCTTACCACTCACTGGGCAGAATGAGCAAATTAATGGAGCTAGAGCTGACAACTGCTTCAAACTTTTAACCTAGCAAGTGTTCATTGGTTTTTTCTGTGTGTGTGTGTGTTTGTTTGTTTTTTAACTTAGGAAATAGCACTTTCAAAATACCAGTTCTCAGTGCTTTCGACTATTAACCCATTTAATCCTCATAATGTCAGCACTCCTGTTACTCTGATTTTATAGAAGAGAAGCTCGAGGCACAGAGAGGTTAAGTTTACCTGCCCGGGGTCACACAGTCCGGCATGATGGAGCTGTGGTTGGGTCCGGGCATTCTGTTCTCATGTCTGTGTTCTGAACCCCTGCTCTGTGCCAGCCCCCTGGAGATCAGTACCTGTTGGATATAATGGGGTGGTGCTTCATAAACCTCTTTCTCAGTTTGGACCGGCCACCTATGGATACCAGCTACTCTGAGCAACAGGGCAGTGTAGAGTCTATGAATATCTTTGTATCTACTGTGACCCGCACATTCTGAACAGTCCTGGGGTCTGCCTTGTCGGAGCCCGAGAGTAGTGCAGAGATGTGTGGACAGAGGGATGGAGGGACACCTACCAACCGCTGTACGTCAGCAAAGACATTTGTAGTCAAGGAGTGAGAGTATTTCATGAGTTCTAAGGTAGACGAAGTGAGAGGATGAAATGGAGGGAGTCACTGGTGCTTGGAGGAAAGAGAAACTGCACTTGCAGCACTTGGAGCAGGGTCTGCCCTAGGCCTGTGTGACTGGTGAGGAGTCTGGAGTTCACTGGGGTGTCGGGGAAGGGGGGACAGAGACAGAAGTTCAGGATGGCTTGCAGAGGAAAGATTTTCGAAGGGATGGTTCTCATGTTGTCTCAGAATTCAGGGCAACAGTGGTGCTGTTTTATTCCCTTACACGCTTACTAAATTCCAAGCGCAGCTTAAAAGTATGGAGACTTGTGGGAATAATAAGTGAGTGGAAAGACAGGTATGGAAAATCCCCTCTTGGCATTGAAATTCCCAAGCAGCTCTATACTGGGTCCTGTTACCATTGCGATTGGGCCCCTGAGCTCACCTGTCTTGGTCGTTCTCCTGCCAGCTCCCTCTGGGCATGCAGAACCAGGTCCCGGACCCCCAGACTGCCAGCCCGGCAGCAACTTACATTGATCCCCTCCCCAAGCCGGCCCCACCTGTTGCCTAGCGAAGCATCTGTGCTCAGCAGATCCTGTTGGCTGATTGTTCTTGGTGTCGTTTTGTGATTAAAGCTCAAGGTTTCCCTTTAAGAGACCAACCTTGTGCTCAGTCTTGCTGAGGTGCCAGGGGTCAGCTTCAGCAGTTAGCTTTATCTCTGCTCAGCACCTTGAGTCCAGAGGTGGGCACAACCCTTTGTCTCTGGGAGTCCAGATTTCGAATGCAGGGCTCCTTCTAACACAGAGCAAGGATGAGTCGCTGTGAGCTCAGGCTCTGTTGACTAGAAGGGCACTGCTGTGTTGACTCACCGTTGTGTTGTGAGCGCTGCTAGACCCTGAGCCTGTAATGTGGCCATGCAGGCCTGCAGGATTAAAGCCGGGCGTTCATCTTTTTTTGAGGAATACTGCTGGGATTCTGTGTGGTTGTCTCTCTCTTTTTTTCTTCTTCTAATACAAAAAACACTTTTCCAGACCTGGGAGAGATTTTACCTTCCAGGCGGGTCTTAAGAACAGCTATAGTAGCGTGTTTGACTTCTGTGCAGTGACCTAAGATGGCATTCCATTTCTTTAGCACTTGGATCATGAAGAAAGAAAAAGAAAATCTGCAGGTGCACCGTCTTCCTCCTCGGGGAAGGTTGGTTTGATCTTGTACATCAGCAGACACTGAAGAGATGACACACACACCCCGAGTCCAAAACCAACAGCACAACAGTGTTTACCTTGAGCTCTGGCAGGAAATCATTATTCAATCTGGTTTGTTTTATCAGGCAATTCCAGGGCCACACAGACGGGGCCAGCTGTATTGACATTTCTAATGATGGCACCAAGCTCTGGACGGGCGGCCTGGACAACACGGTCAGATCCTGGGACCTGCGTGAAGGGCGGCAGCTGCAGCAGCACGACTTCACCTCACAGGTGCCCGGCTCCTCCTACCTGGAATCTGGGAGGTGGTATAGTGTGTGTGCGCGTGTGTGCGTGTGTGTGTGTGTGTGTGTGTGTGTGTGTGTGTCCTCTCCCTCCTTTCGTACCCCATGACAGTAGTAGCTATACAAACAGAACGGGCTTAAATTTGAGATACTGATTTTTTTTTTTAACCACTAACAAACAAAAAGCCCTTGAAACACTTAGAGTGGTGTCTAAACTCCTGCAGGTTAAGCCCTGATAGCTGTTACAGTCATGTATGAGTTCATTTAAGGAATCGGTGCAATCAGGAATATCCAGCTTTCCCCCGGCGGGTTGGGTCTGCTTCTCCCCGTCTCATGTGAGGGTGAGAGCTGATAATTTGATTCACATATAAACAGAGCTTGAAAAGCATGCAGGCACATCACAAGGAGTAGAGGAAAGTCACAACAGCTCTGAAAGTTAATTCATTTTTCTTGCATCAGGGAACATAAAAACATGCTGCAGCCTCTCCCTGGGTGCCTGTTTTATTACTCACCCTTCAGAAAATGGACTCATGGCTGACTAAAGTTATGGAGTTTTGAAATGATATAAAACTCTCAACTTTGTGGATTGTGAAGATTATTTAGATGACAACATCTGAATCTAGGTGTGTTTGGGGAAAGAGTGCCATTTTAAGGGCTTTCTGATGGTAGAAGTGTTCTTTTCAACATTAGACTTATTTTTTTGTAATGAAATAATTCCACTCAGAATAAAAATAGGATAAAAATGGAAAATAATGATATATACTACTAAATTTTGTGTCCCTGTTAAAATTTTGTGGAGTTTCTTCCCTGTTTTAGCCCTTTTCCCCAGTATGAGTAGGATTCTGTTTGGTCTGCCCTTTTATTTTTTAAACTTCTTGTGGAAATTTTCAAATACATAGGAGAGTACAGAGAATGTGAAAGCATATTTGACAGGACAGAGGATTGTACAGTAAACCCCACCTACCCCTCACCCAGCTTTAATAGTTAGTGACACGTGACCCGTCTTGTCTCATCTATTGCTCCTGCCCCAAACACTAGTAAATGCCAAACATGATGTCATTTCAGCCATAAGTATTTCAGTTAGTATCTGTAAAGACAAGGATCCCTTTAAACAACACATACAAATACCATTAATATTGAGAATAGCTTCTCAGTTGCATCACATATAAGTGCTTCCGTTTTTCCAGTTGTCTCATATAAAGATCTTTAACACTTGGCTCATCTGGGTTGAGTTGCTTGTTGTCGACCTGACCACAGTCTGGAGTTTGCTGATTCTGTCCTCCTGTTCTTGCTATTTTCCCCCCTTCCCTGTTGCCTTTTTCCATCGTAAGTTCCTAGCAAACTCATCAGTGAGCCGCTCTGTTCTTGTAGATCTTCTCCCTGGGGTACTGCCCCACCGGGGAGTGGCTGGCCGTGGGCATGGAGAGCAGCAACGTGGAGGTCCTCCACGTGAACAAGCCCGACAAGTACCAGCTGCACCTCCACGAGAGCTGTGTGCTGTCCCTGAAGTTTGCTTATTGTGGTGAGTGCAGCTGAAGGGACCCCCGAGGACAGCGATGGCCTCTGTGGAAAAGACTTTTAGAAAAATAGAGCCGAGACCATATCTGGAAAAAAATATTGTGCTCTGAGCAGCTGGAAGCAATAATTCCAGTGTCTTAATATGTCCCTCAGAGTACAATGATGTCTGTTTTCCTAATTTGAGAGAAGTCAGCAGGCAATGAAATTGCCTCATACAAGGTTTTGACACGTTTGTTTTTGGTGGGGAGAGTCGGGTCGGGGTGGGGCACAATTAGTTGCAGCTCTGAAGAGGGGTGGGAGGGGATTTATTGAAGAGGCAGGCAGGAGTGGAGGGAGTCATGGGGGAGTGACGAGGGTGCGGAGCCCACAATCAGGATGTAGTGAGTAGCTGAGCCTGACGGTTGCACCCTGCAGTGAGGATACAGAGGGAAGAGGTCCACATAGGATCAAACACTTGTTCACGAGGTCGATGCTGGATGAGTGGCTATCACCACTGACCACACTCTGTGCGCCATGCATCGTGTCTGGCATTTTACTTAAGTCTGTCATTTAATCCTTCTTAGCCCCATATTGTCTTGGGGAGACTAACAAGGACAGCAAAGTCACTGATTCCCTGTTTGAGGACCCACTGTGTGCTGGGTGTGGTGCTACCCATCATGGCTAAGGAGGCTGACATGGTCCTTGCCGCTGCTTTCATTAAACCAAGATCACAGGTGATTCACAGCAGAGCCTGGATTTAAAACTGCTGTCTCCGCTCATAGCATAGCCCAGCCCTTGGACAAGATAGTTCATGATTATGCACTGAGTTTGATTAAGTCCACGGAGCTAATAATATAGTAGGGATTTTATCTTGTTAAACAACATCTTCCTTTGCTAATTTTAGGTAAGTGGTTTGTGAGTACTGGGAAAGATAACCTCCTCAACGCTTGGCGGACCCCCTACGGAGCTAGTATATTCCAGGTGAGTCAGTGTTCCTTACCGAGAAGGACAGTTTGGCTTCGGCGGTCCAGTGACACCCCAAGTGGAAGGTGCCTTGGAGGGAGCAGGGCCCCTGAGTATCTCTGTTCTACAGTAAACATGCCCCCACTCTTCTCTCTTCCAGTCCAAAGAGTCCTCATCTGTGCTCAGCTGCGACATCTCTGTGGATGACAAGTACATAGTCACTGGCTCAGGGGACAAGAAGGCTACAGTCTATGAAGTCATCTACTGAAAACATTATGTGGTTTAATGTTTATAGTTGAATTGGGCCAAAATGTTTTGAATTTGTAGAAATAGAAGAGTTGTAACTTTAAAAACAAGAAAACCTGTTTTTAAACCTTGACACAAAATGACTTTGAGTCTACAAAGAAGAGGTGACGCGTCCATCAACTGAAGGTCATCTATCTGCCTAGACCAAATGGAGCACCGAGGCCAGGTGGACAGAGGGGCCAGGGCTGCGGGCTTGAGGGACAGAGCCTGTGGCCCAGGCAGAGCCGATCCTTTTCTTTCTGTGTGATCTGCACAGATTACCTTTCTGTTCCTTGCGGTTCCCCTCACGTTCCGTCCTTGGTAGCGCAGTGGTGTCTCCAATGAACTTGTTTCCTGGTTTTGCATCTTGTGAAATGTTTTTTTGTATTTTTGTTGAAGGTTAAACATTTGTATAAATTGTAAATATATTTGGTTTATTACAGTAAAGGCTTTAGTACCAATAAGTGGTTTCCCTTTGCCTTCTTGTTTTTATCAATGCTTTGGGATCATTGATGTGGGTTTTATAAGCAAAGTCCAAACATTTGTAGAGGAAGTTTTAAAAGCACTTCTGATGTTGTTAATGTATTTGGTCATGGGTTGCCGTGCAGCGGAACACTTTTGAGTTACTGTGGAAACCCAACACTAGGTATCGAGAGTAAATCGAAGGTATATAATAACAGTTTTATTTGGGAAGCTAAGATAACTTGGTCAAAATTTATTCTTTTGTTAGGATACTCTTGTCATTCGAGGTCACAGGTGAAAGTTCTGCTTCCCTTGGTGATTCATTGGGAAACAGAATGTTCTTTTCTCTGGGAAGGCTCAGCCTTTTCAAACCTTTAATCTCTCCTTCACAAGCTTCATGTCTCAAGGAGTGGAGGTGACTGGGGCCTAGTGTTAAGATTGATGTTCACGAAGCTGTCGAGTTTATTAACCTGTAAAAGAAAGGTTGGCTGTCAACTGGTTTTGTCTCCATTAATACCTATTTGATCTGTTCTATTAACTTCCTGTTCTTAAGCCAACCACACCCAGCGCTTCACCTCATTGTCCTCCGTAAGGCTTCCCCTGCAGCTCAGCCATGGCTCTCCGTCGTGAGTCTGGTCCTCTTTGTGGATGAGCTTTTACTGATTAGACTAGATGAAATCTATGTTTCCTCCTGAAAAGAGTACAGGGCTCATTCTTTATAAACTTATTGTTTACTGTTATAGTTTAGAAAATAATGAGCAACAATGTTAAGCCAAGTTTCCTGGCTTTTTAAAAATCTCATCTAAGGACTTTTTAATGTTCTTGCTTTCTTATGATCCCGAGAGCTGTTGGTAGTTTGTCTTAATTTTTTTTTTATTCGCTATCCAGACCTTATTTTTTATACATTGAACAACATTATTTTGTTTGCTTTTTGCCAAAATAATGCTTGTTTATGTACAGAGATGGTTAAATATTTTCTCTTATTAAGCAAATGGCAAAGCCCTAATTACTAACTTGATTTCTCTCATCCTTTCCTTGTGTAATGAAGCAGGTTTCTGTACCACAGACTCTGATGGCTGATTAAAGGACTGTGTACCTTCTCTGTTCTCTCTTCTTCCCTGCCTCACTTCCCCATTTTCTGTAATAGTAGGATAGAGGTTAAGTTACTGAAACAGAGACCCCACTATACAGCAGCTCAGAGACCACAAAGGTTTGTGTCTCCCATGTAAGACCCAGAGACCCAGGCCAGCAGTGCCGCTCTGCCTCCGGGGTGGCTTCATCGTCCCCACTTCCAGCCGGCAGTGGACAGAGTGGAAGTCCAGGGGAAGGGATGTGCGCTCAAGCAGGTGACTAGGCATTGGTTCATCCCTCCCAACCCCCATTGATTAGCAAGGGCCTAGTCACTCCCCAGGCTGGGGAATGTGGTCTCCAGCTGGGTGGCCGTGTGTCCATGAAGAAGGTGGGGGCACATTCAAAAGAACTCTTGAGTTAAAGAAATAGTCCTGTTTTTTTTTTGTTGTGCATTTTCTCCCCTCATGCTTTGTAGGTTCCCCAGCTTCCGATATTCTTTCTCTAATTGCATTGTCTCTAAGAAGGTCTAGACCAGCCGTGGACAAACTACGGCCTGCGGGCCGGATCCGGCCCGTTTGAAATGAATAAAACTAAAAAAAAAAAAGACCGTACCCTTTTATGTAATGATGTTTACTTTGAATTTATATTAGTTCACACAAACACTCCATCCATGCTTTTGTTCCGGCCCTCCGGTCCAGTTTAAGAACCCATTGTGGCCCTCGAGTCAAAAAGTTTGCCCACCCCTGGTCTAGACCTTATCAACTCAAGAATTTGCTTTTGGATGAAGCACTCATCTGGTCCTGGAAGAGGCATTCTAGAGCTAGTCCCTCTGCTCAGGGGGCTTGGAATCTTAGAGAATTGCCTGGATAAACTGTCTCCCCACTCATAAAATTGTCATGCCCAGTTTTCAGGGTTTGAGGATCAGAAATGGGCATGTGAAACAAGATTGTGAGTGGAGGGGGCATGCATGGGAGATTTCTTCCTCAGCTGTGAATTTAAGAAGTAACTGAATTAACACTCCTCTCCTCCAAGTGGTGGGAATCGTTATTGAAACCCAGGTGAGCCAAATGTTTGTGTACCTCTTGCCTTGAATGTGGATTACAAGTTAGGGTTCAATAAATTTCAGATTCAGCTAGACCAGTGGTCGGCAAACTGTGGCCCCTTGAGTGTGGCTCTTACACAAAATACCACGTGCAGGCACGCACGTACAGTGCGATTGAAACTTCGTGGCCACACTCAAGGGGCCAAAGAGCCGCATGTGGCTCGTGAGCCACAGTTTGCTGACCACTGAGCTAGACATTAATCACCAGTATGTGCCAAGAGCCATGCTCATCAGTTTTACATATAAAAATTGAGGTTACCGTCGTCATCCTTAAGTAAGTAAGGCTCAGGAAAATAGCTTCAAAGGAGGCAGAACCAGATTCAGGTTTACCATGGGTCCTGTCTGTTTTCCTTCAAATCTGAGTGGGTTGTGATTTTTCCAAGCAGTTCAAAGTGCCTCTTACCTTCAATTCCCTAGGTACCAGTCTGGTGCAATAGTATAAGAGTAGGTAGGTTTGCCCTAGCCAGTTTGGCTCGGTGGATAGAGCATTGGCCTGCGGACTGAAGGGTCCCAGGTTCAATTCCAGGCGTGGGCACATGCCCGGGTTGCAGGCTCTATCCCCAGTGGAGGGCATGCAGGAGGCAGCCAATCAATGATTCTCTCTCATCATTGATGTTTCTATCTCTCTCCCTTCCTTCCTCTCTGAAATCAATAAGAATCTATACTAACAAAAGGGTAATATGCTAATTAGACCAGGAGACCTTCCAGACATCTTTCCGGACAAAGCCATGGTGGCAGAGCTGAGGCAGAGGCAGTTAGGGGCAATCAGGCCCGCAGGGGAGGGTAGCTGGGGGCAATAAGGCCAGCAGGGGAGGGCAGTTGGGGGTGATCAGGTCAGTAGGGGAGCAGTTAGGGGCATCAGGCCAGCAGGCAGAGGTGGTTAGGGGCGATCAGGCAGGTATGCCTTGTAATTTTTTTCTTGATAGCTGAATGTAATTGATCAGGCAGGCAGATGAGCGGTTAGGAGCCAGCTGTCCTGGATTGCGAGAGGGATGTCCCAGATTAGAGAGGGTGCAGGCCGGGCTGAGGGACACCCCCCACCCCACGCCGTGCACAAATTTCATGGACCAGGCTACTAGTATATATATAAAAAAGAGTAGATAGGTTTGTGTTCACTAACTTAACTTATGCAGATAATTGTTTTCTCCATTCTTTGTAATAGGTTTACCTTACATATATTTACTTTTTTTTTTTATCACTCAGTCTTTACTGATACATTGTATATAGGTTTTTGCCATGTAGCTCTTCCATGGAATTGAAGTTCATTGTGTAAAAATTGAAGTTCTAGTATGATAGGTTTGTAGTGCCTTTTTCATAACTAGATGTTTTTATCACTTACAGTAAGGACAACATATTTCATCAATAAGATCATTCACCTTTATTAAGTTTCTGTTATTTACCAGGCGATAGGGAAGTGTTTGACAAATTATAATGATTCTCAGTGGCTGAGAGATGGGATTTTGATGGGTTATTTAAGACTTCGTGACTGGGAGGCAGCAGCTGGTTCCAAACGCGTGGAGCATTTATACAGGGATTTTAAAAATTGCACTTTTGCTAATGATGCACTGAGGTTGTGACTTTCCCAAAAGTTTTCCAACAAATCAGCGCCAGGGATCCAGTTTTTAATTTCAGCATCCTGTTTAATTCCAGGATGAAATTAAAGAGACGGCTGCCCCTCATCAGCTGAGCCGGAGTGATGACGTTTCAAGTCCTCTCCGCTGCAGGTTCATGGATTGTTTGCTTCTCAAGGATGTCTTCTCTTCACTCTCGCTCGGCAATAAAGTGGGCAGATCACCAGTTTCGGTCTCTCCTGAGCAAGATGAAGCTTGTCTTTAAGGGTCATGACCAGGGGAACTTACTCCCCTGACTTCGTGCATTTAAACAATTCAGTCGTTTTAATTGGGTTCGTTTTTCTAGAAAAGCTTTCCCCAAACTTTTCGTCTGCATCCAAATCACCAGGAGAACTAGTTAAAATTCAGATTTCTGTGCCCCAGTCTCAGAGTTTTGGCTCAGTGGGTCAGTGTGGGAGCTGAGAATTTGCATTTCTCAAACAAGTTGCCCGGTGATCCTGAGGGTGCTGGGTTGGAGCAGCAATCCTAACAATAGAGCTATTAGTATATTCAGAAAGTGTTTGAATATATTCATATTCTCTTAAGAGCAGAACCATACCACAGTTTAGGCTTTGGGGCTGAGGGTTAAAAGAAAAATGTCAATAAAACGCAAGGCATACTGTTTGTGTGTGTGTTTTATTGATTTCAGAGAATAAGGGAGAGGGAGAGAAAGAAACAGCAATGATGAGAGAGAATCATTGATCAGCTGCCTCCCACACCCTGCCTTCTGGGCATCAAGCCCACAACCTGGGCATGTACCCCGACCTGGAATTGAACGATGACCTCCTAGTTCATAGGTTGATGCTCAACCACTGAGCCACACCGGCCAGGCAAGGCATACTGTTTTGAAGTTGCTGTTCTTGCATTAGTCCTTGTTCTCAAAACTACTTTTTTCTTTTTTATAATTAAAAGTTTTTGGATAACATTGGTTAACGCTATAGAAGTTTCAGGTGTAAAATTTCATCATACATCATCTGTATATTTTATTGTGTGCTTATCACCATATATTTGACTTCTTTTACCTTCTTCTTCCCCCACCCCTCTGCCCCTCTTTAACCACCATTCTGTTGTCTGTGAGTTTGTTTTGTTTTGTCTGTTGCTTTTTGTTTTATGTCCTACATATGAGTAAAATCATATGTCCCCAAAACTAACTTTTGAAGCTGAATGTTATAATAGGTCTAAACCAAAGTCAAGTTTTAAAAAATGTTGCTTTTTAACT